TTTGTGAGGTGCTTTTTTGATATTTAATGGATCGGATTACATTTTTTATTTCTCGCCGATATCCGATCCAGTAATTTGGGTCAGTATCGGACCGATACCGATAGGTAATATCGGATCGGTCCATCTCTAATGACATCTCGCTATAATATTATGAGTAAGGCTATAATGAAGAGGAACAAAAATGCACAAAAGTGATGGCATTTTAGGATACTTGTGCTAAAAAAAAGGAGAGAAATCTTTTTTTTTCCTGAAACATAATTGATTTCTAAGGTAAATTGGGATTAACAATGTAAGACAAGCTTTTAGAAATAATGTGATAATTTATTTTTATACAAAATACACTCAGTTCTTTTGTGGGGATTCAAATGACACAGAGTACTAGACCTGCAACAACAACAATGGCTGTTAAATGAGACAGAGGTGCACCTTAGACAAACTTAACTTCTGTCAACAGCACAAAATATCAATATCAATAAAGAGTCAGCTGATACTAATGCCAAAACAATGTTCATAATTAAATTTTTTGTGAAGAATAAAGAAAGGTGACAGGTCAGAAAGGTTGTTGGGAGCAAGAAACTTACAATTAAAGAGCATAACAGGAATTATGAATGGGTCCTTGAAAAAAAGCAAACAAACTCTAAGTTTTACAAATAAATTTATGACTAGTTGTGTTTTTCATACACAAAATCCATCTAATCCTAATTCAGATATTGTTTTCAAGAGAAACACCTTCTGCTGTGGCTCTAATGTATGAAAACCTGTCAAAAACACATATTTGAGTGTGAAAGGTTGAGATGAAAAACTACTTTAAATTTCATAATCAGACAGTTAATTTCATAATGAAAAGAACTACTGAAACATTTATTGGAGGAAAACCTGGACACAATGTAGAGAGATAAAACTAGTCCTGTAGCTGCATGGAGATGGAGCTACTTGCCCTAAATGACCAATCAACGTTTACAAGATCAATTTTAGGAGTCATTAATACTAAAAATCTTAAAACAATGGTCTGGATGACTTGTTACCTTTAAATATTTGTAGGTAAATACAATCACAATTTTAATTGTAATATTAGATAAAATACATTGATGTTCCATTTAATTACACCTTAGTTGTGGGCTGTATTATAAAGTGTTACCATTTTTTATCTTGTGTGTTAAGTACACTGATTTTATATGTACTGAAATGTGCTATATCATTGCATTGTCATCTGAATGAACCATAACTAAACTCATAAAATAAAACGATTAAAATATATTTGAAATATATGTAGAGTGATGTGATGTGAATCCCTTTCAGTTTTTCCTCAAACTTCAAACATTAAAAGATAAATATGTCTTACAGAAATAAAAGTCCACAATCACTTATAATGACATTCACAAAATCAAAGTCAAATGTCACCAAACAACTTTTAAAGGGACCAAATAAAAACAACTGAAAATGATTGAGACCAAATCAGATGTTTTTTTTGTTTTAAACAGCACTTCCTCTGGGAAGACCTGTTTGTGTCCAGGTTTCTGCAGTTTCTACCTGGTCAGCAAATCTGAAACATTAAAAAAAGGTTTAACAATGAGCAATAAGGACCAAAATATATATATATAGATATAGATAGATATATAGATAGATAGATAGATAGATAGATAGATAGATAGATAGATAGATAGATAGATATTTTTTTATGTAATACTGATGATGACATATAAGGATTTACCCAGTTAGTGATGTTTCATCATCTGGAGTGCCTACAAGTTTATCATAATGTTTCTTCACCATCTCAAGCTCTGTTGAAACATCTGAAAAACAAAACATTTTTTGAATTGTTTCCCCCCCAAGAGTGACTCACGTAATAGTGTGTGTGACTGTAAATTATAAGTTAATTTTAAAAATAGAGAGACAAATAGGTAAATAGACTGTGCTATCAGGTGAAAGATTTCAAAGATAAAGAGAAAAGGAAGGAAGCTTTATCAAATGTAAATACAGCAAACTGTCCTGTTTACCTGGGAGTAAGCCCCCATCAGTCTTGAATGAACGTTCAATGGATTCCTTCATAGTTTCCTCCAGAGTCTTCAGGATTTTTTCCTATTTTAAAAATTGTTATTACTTATCACAGATCAAAATATTGTGTTAAAGTCAAATACAATTACTCAGGTTCTCAGATACTGCATAAAAACATAAATGGAAACATATTTTTGTGTATTCCAGTTAAATATGGAAAAAGCCTTCATATGTTCATCCCATTTTTTCATAAAACATGACAAACCATCAAACTGTGCAACTTCTCCAACATGGTATTTTTTGCCCTCTCAAACATGTCCTCCTTTGAGTGCACGTGGTCCGTAATAGTCTCCCTCATGTTGTACAGCGTGTCTTTTCCACTAAATTCTGCAGCCTCTACAATAAGACAGAAAGCTCTAATCAGATTTCTCTTTCTGAATAATGATAAATATAAATGTGTTTTTGTGAATCTCTGATCTTATTTCTTACTCTTGTAGCCTTCATCCATAATGTCTTCAATTGTCTCTGTCAGACTGCTGTAGACTCTTTTCTTCTGTTTCCGCATCATTCTGTTCAGTTTTGCCTTAATTTTTTCTTCCTTAGAAAACAAACATGAAATATGGATGAACATCACTTGAAATCACATCAAGCCATAAAACTAAGGTTAATTTTTCATGTTTTCCATTTACTGTCCATTATGTCAGTAAAGTTTCATCTCTTACCTCTGTCTTGAGAAATCTGAGCTGCAGTTCAGCATTTTTGTACTTTTCAAACAGAGAATCGGTGTTAAGAGAAAATGTATCGATGACTCCATTGAATGCTCCATGTTCTGAGTCATTTCTAAAACATATAAACATTGTGGTTATTAATGGCAGAATTGGCAAGTTTATATGTTATAATTACATATCTTGGATAATATTATGTGACTGCTTAGAACTTATTTTTTCTTACGGGAAGGTCTTTCTGAATTCATCATCAATGCTGTCGATCAGACAGGAAGCCAACTTCATATTAAGGTTAATTAAGGTCCCTTTCTTTGGTTTGTAGACGCCACCATTCTTAACAACACACTTCAGTACCTTGTGAAAAGCACCACCCTTCTTTCCCTAAAACAGAAAAGAAAAGAAGAAGTATTTAAACACATATTCATGTAAAATATGTTGTTTTGTTGTAACTATATTTAAAATACATACACGATACAAGAAGTTCTTGAGTTTTTCTCCGTATGATCCTTTGGATTTCTCAACGCCATCATCAAGATATTTTTCAAAAGCTGTATAGGTGTCTTCCATTTCTTTGTTGACATTACGAAGTTGGAGGTTCGTGTTTCTCTCAAGTTCTGCACACACCTCGGCTTTTTTATCATCCTGAAAAATTTTTGAAGGAATAAAATCATAAAAACAACTTGTTGTTTCGTATAGATTTATGAAATCAATTGATTTTAAAAGTCACTGTCCTGTAATAAGAACCTGAGAAGAAAATTGAACAGCAAAAATAAATGAATCAATTAATAAATCATAAATTAATAGATTAAAAAAAACAAGATACTCGAAAAAAATTGGGAAATCCCAACATGTAAGAGAATGTGTATCTTTTAAGTTGGGCATACACTCTGAGATTTTTGGTCCATTTTGAGACGATTTTTCAGTCGTGCGACCGTTTTCGGGATTGGTCCGAGTTTTCCCCTAATCGTGTGTCATGCATCGTGTAGTATACGTGGGGTAACAAGAAGCGATTAATACCTCACGATCAGTTCCCGATCATCAATCGTTTG